TCATTAACTGTTTATTTTTATTTTGTCCTTGAATGTCTAGGGTAGCACTTGAATCTGGTTTTAAGATATGAAATAACAATGCTAATGAATAATCTAAAACTCTTCCATGTAAAAATTATTACACTGGATGAATACAAATAACCAGAAATCAAGTCCCAAATCCCTAGCATTTAGTTTCCATACCCCTAAGGGGTATGGGTACCTCAAACAGACTGGCATGCCATTCCTATGAGATTACATGAGGTAACTGCTGCCTTAAGCCATCCCTCATCTTTGTGTGCCTATTGGTTATGGTGAGATGCAAGAACATAAGAAACACTTCTGATGCAGGAGTTTAGAGAAAATCACCTTTATTTTACATTTGCTCTTATTCCAAAACTGCTGCATCCCCGGCTCACAACTATGACTCTTATCCCTTTAATTAACCCACTCATTGCTGGTTTACATTTAATTACATCATGGTGAACTGGACCAAATGCTAGTTAGCAAGTAGCCATGCCACATTTCACGCATGCTTTAAGTTTTGTGCACGAAAGAGTTACATGCTTATGTGGTGCTCATTTTGGTCAATGAGAAGTAGGCTCTTAACCTCAGTTCCTTAAAAACTGCATATGCTGTGTCCAAATATGTAGGGAGTGTGGTACATGTTAGTTTTTTGTGCTTCATGGTGCATGGCTTCTAATGGCATTGAGAAATCTTATTGTGAGTGGGTTAATTGTATATACCGTATGAGCAGCAGCATACAAAGACATTATGTTTTAATTTGCCCTTCTCAAAAGTCATCCACTTCATATTAATTTTTGAATTATGAAAGGAAAGTATACAAAATATATACAAGATTTTTTTCTTTTTTTTTTTCTTTCCCAAACTGGGTTAGAGTTATAAAAATCAAGGAAGGCCAGTCATCAATCTTTGTATCCAAATGAAAGTGAATGGAGCTATCTCATAAAGTATATGCACTGTACATATATATAGCTATCTTTGTATATGTGGCAGGATCCCCGTAATATACGAAATTCAGATGGAAAATAGCAAAGTGGAATTGATTTTTTCTTAAGTTTTACCTCCATAGATACATTTTGGAATTTTGGATGCTTGCAGGTTGTTTTCCTGGAGATATTTATGAAATAGCATCTAAGCGTATTTTTAATTGTTTTATTACTTATACAAAACTAATACTGTGTGTAAAGAGTGTTTTCTAGTCCAATTTGTCCATATCTCATTTTTGGTTTTATGTTTTCAATTAGGTCTTTCCGAAGTCTCCTGCTTTCAAGGAAGTAGTGCTGAATTCACTTGTTATTTTTGGTATGGTAATTTTAGTTTTTGGTGAACTTTGTTGTCATTCTCTATTTTATTTTATCTGTACCTACTTTGCATGAGAGATCAAGCTTCTGTTGTAAATGATATTCATTTATGCATAATGTTTAGGAAAGGCTTATTGGTGCATTGTATTGTACTTCAATGATTTAATGATCAGCTGAATGATGTGTTAGCTTTGGTATCATTTTCAAAATATGTTCTCAAATACCAGATTCTTTCTCTTTTTTATTTGTTCATTTATTTCTGTTTATTTGTGATGTTGAAAATTGATGGGTGTTGTATATATTTCAGAATAAGGAAATGTCTTCATTGCATTTTGATAATCTCTGAAATTTGCAGTTTGATCCTTGAGGGGAGACTGGTCAGACTTATGCAATTTCTAATTCATTACAAAACATGTTCTACAAACATTTTATAAAATGTTACGTGCGCTGCTAGTCCAGAAAAATTATCCTCAGGGCAGAGGGAGGCTCTAGAAGCCAAAGAAGTGTAAGTGTTCTGCTCCAGTTCCCTTGTAATCTAGCCAAAAGTAAGAGACCAACACATGGTATCAGGCTATGGCAACACTTCACTCGGTTAAGGAGAAGGAGTAGGAAGGGGAGGATGAGAGATGTCATATAGATGTCAAAAAGCAGAGTGTGGAGGGTGTCACATGCCACTTGGCTCAACCATCACGTAAACTTTACAGACTGTGTTCTCCAAAATTATGATAATGCATAAAAAAAGAATAAGTAAAAAAAAAGTCCATTATCTGCATATTTTTTGTAGGATATTGGGAAAATGAGTTTGTGAATTGCATTGAATATATATGCTCAGAATTCCATACTGCTTAGAAAATGGACTTCTAGAAGAAAGTTAACTTATCGTAGTGACATAATACATTGAATGTAAAATCATGATACTATGCTGCGTATGGATAAAGAAGAAAATCTGAGCATGCAAAAAGTTTGACAAGTTCATACTATATGCACACAAAATTTCATCCATATTGATCAAATATTAAATCCACTACAATGAAAATAGTAAATGATGCCATGATATCATTATGTAAAATGTCTGTACCGATGCAAATGAAGAGCAGTCTGATGTATTATTTGTCTATTCAGTTTTATTTGTTTAATTGCAGTAGTCTTTTTTTGACAAATATTTTTCATTTAATCACCAGTCTCCCCTTAACCCCTTCACGACGGGTGATGCCTATAGGCGTGAAAACAAACCACTCGAAATGTGGCTTGTGGCTGTATGCTGCAGCAGCGCGGCAAAGCGCAGTGAGCCGGTGATTGGGCCTGATGTACCGAACTCCTGCCCTCAAAGTCGGCGTCCTGCCATTGATCACCAAAGCGTAGAGTTTTTTTTTTAGGTTAAGTTGACCATCCCATCCGAGCCCTACCTTGCTCCAGTCATTTGATCATAAAAAGATGATGGTGTTACATTACTAAACAACTTAATTTTGCATGTTATAGAGTGTAGAATTGTGCTTTGCCTCATATATCATTTTAACCTCGACTCCCCATAGGGGACTTGAGATTTTTTTTTTTTTTTAACAGTCCCCGGTACTGTCCACAGATTGTATTTTTGCCTTGCATAACTTCAAATATATTCATCAGTTTTATGACTCTTTATGTAGCAGGGGAGTAAATCTGATTGAGAGGAAATGGAGAACCATGATGGCAGTCTCACTACAAAATTATATCCACATAGCTATAGAATGAATGCAATATATTTGTTCAATATTGAGAATTATAGAAGTACATGTGTAAAATAGATTTATGGCAAGAATTTCTGAAGCCATTGAATTTTTTTCACACTCCAAACAGGGTGGGTGAGGGGGAGCTGGTCACGCTGGTTTTAATTTTTGAGAAGATTGATATGTTTGTAAACACACACACACACACAGGAGATTAACTATTTTGATCATCCTCATTTAACCCCTTGCCGCCGGGTGACGGCGATACGCGTGTAAACAAATCGCTCGAAAGGTGGCGTGCGGCCAAACCAGCCGGCGGCGCGCCAAAGCGCGGCGAGCCAGTGATTCGGGCTGACGCCCCGTACTCCTGCGCTCAAAGTCGGCGCGCTGCCTTTGTTTGCCAGAGCGTAGAGTTTTATTTTCCTTTAGTACACCCGGCGTCATTGGGTTAATAGGACTATTTTTTGTAAAGATAAAATTATTTTCCTTCTTGGTATTTATAAAATATGTCTATTGGGTATGGTAGACAAATAAAATGTTGATGTTCAGTAATTTAAGAGCCACAAAACCCTCAGTTTGTTTGTCCCTCCATCCTCAAAAATAAGTATGTTTTTCTTCAGGTTTCACTAAAGTACATTTTGGCTTAAGGCATTAGACAGGCTCAGTTTTATGCACCAGAAAGTGAATATTTCATTGCCATTACAAGTGGCAATAGAGCACAAAGTTGAATTAGTTGTCACGGTAACTTCTTGTGTGTGAATATAAAGAAGGAGGAGATTATAGCGGTGGTGGAGCTGAAGGAAATTTCCCAAACAGTAGTAAATGTATTTGTAGACACTGCATTTGTCTCATGTATCATGAAAAAAGTTAAAAGAAAAATCTTGCTAGCTTTTGACAGGCCTTCTATGATCTTGGGCAGTATGACTTAGTAAACATTGTGTGATTAACCAGGACTTTGGTGAATAGGACTTGTAAAATGGTTACTCTTGCCATAGGCTACCCAGAGTCAGTCTCAGCACTAAAGCTCCCAATATAATGTCATGTTCATATCCTCAGTACTGCCCTGAGCCAAACCAATCTTCCAAAGTGGTACATTTTTTTTCATCGTTTACAACCTACAAAAAGAATTGTTGTAATTTGTGAAATTTATTTTATATATATATATAAACATATATATATATATATATATTTATATTTATATTTATATATATATGAGGGGCTTCAAAATGTTTGTGGAGAAAGTCCATAACTAAAAATCATCTGGAAGGATTCTGATTTTAATGCACTTGAACATTCTTGTACCAACGCGGTATAACATGTTCAAACATGAACCATTAAATGCTGGTAATAATGCATTGCCACCAGTTGGAAGTCAGGTACTATTCAAGCAACATGGAATCCACCAAAATCGAGGCCATGACAAACATCAAATTCATATTGACACTCGGGAGAATAGGCAAGTCATTGATGCCCTGGAACAAGTTTATGATGACAATGCCCGAAAGAGATCAACAACATACTAATGGATAAGTTGGTTCAGAAGTGGAAGAAATGAAATTGAAGAGGAGTCCTGCTGTGTCAGGCCATCAACATCAGTTTGTTAGGAAAACATTGATACTGTTCGCGACATGATTGTAAAAGTACATGAATAACCAATGAATTAGTAGCAGACACACTGAACATCTCTATGGGTTCTGCACACACAATTCTGGTGGAGAGTTTGGGGCTAAACAAGCTTTCTGATCGATGGTGTCCCTAGGCTGTTGTGCCTAGATCAACAGCAAACAAAGGTAGATCTGTCAATGGAAATTTTGAACAAGTGGGGTGAGGACTTTGAAGCTTTTCTGCAGAGAATTGTGACGGAATGAAACATGGCTCTACCAGTATGATTCTAAGGACAAAATTCGATCAAAGCAATGGTGACCCAGGGATGGAAGGTGACCAATCAAAGCAAAATAAGAGTGTTCAAGAGGAGAAGTCATGGCCACCGTCGTCTGGGATGCAAAGGAGATTTTGATGATAGACTTCCTTGAGAGCAAAAAACCAATTACATCTGCTGATTATGAATGTGTTTTGAGAAAACTGTCCCAAAAAACTGCATCAACTGAAAACCTGCATCAGCGTGTTATTTTCCTCCATGAAAATGCACCACTTATGGCACTCGGTAGACAAGAGCTGTGCTATGTGAATTTAGATGGGAAATTGTCCGAAATCCCAATTTAGCCCCATCTGACTTCTTTTTGTTTCCAAACTTTGAAAAATAATTGAAAGGTACCAAATTTTCATTGGTTGAAGGTGTAAAAAAAGAAAACTGCTCTGACATGGTTCAGATCACAAACCCGTTAGTTTTGCTCGACAGTTTGTTAGTTTGGTATCAATGTTTGTAGAAGTGTATTGACCTTCATGGAGCATATGTTGAAAAATAAACATAAATGAAACTGTTTTTTCATACTGTCCTTTTTCCACAAAGTATTTGAAGTACTCTCGTGTAAAAAGCACTTGTAACTTAACGTAAGAAATATTTCTTCTTTTAATGTTGAGATATTCTGTGATCAATGTTTTTATTATGTATGACAAGTGTGGCATATATTTAACTCTTTAGGCAACCAGAGTTAAAATCTTTTGATGTTGATGTTGTAATCTGATTCTAGTTCACAGCTTTAAAATAATATTCCCCATGGGTTCCATATTTGTATTTGCAAAACAATGTAATATTTAACCCATTGCTGCCGGGGAAAATGAATAAAAAATGAGGAGAATGCTGGACTCATTTTTTTATATTTTTTTGTGAAATGTTTCTGCACATAGATGGCTCTGCTAGTGCCAAGCCACAATGGAGTCAATTAGTAGATCTTGTGACCTTACCTGATTTCACCTTTCCTTGAATTGGCAGGAAGAACGTATATTTCACTAGTGCTTTGATGGTGTTATTTTTATTATAAGTATCATAATTACTATAATGTTATAAACATTAGTAACAGCAAAATAAGATAAAGTAAAATATTTTCGTAAATCAATGAAAAGAGTGAATGGGCGAAACAGGTAGTACTCAGAATTGGTGACTTAGTGCAAGTGTTGCCATCTTTGTTTAAAAAAAATTAAACAAGTAAACTCACAGTGTAATTACATGTCATGCCTGTCGGCAGTGGGTTAAAGATTGTATATATGTTGGCAGTAAAAATGTAAAAATATTGTTTTAGTTATTTAGTGTCATTTAGATTCTAAGAGGAGATATTTACTATCAACAGAAGAGTTTGGAAATGGCACTCTTCACTTTGAAGAAGATGGACCAAGGAGGCATTCATGATCATGTGGCTCAAGGATTTGCAAGGTACTGAAATATGTTTTACTTTCCATTATTGGATTTCATGCAAAGGAAAGAAATTTATACATTTGCTAGTGAGTAAGAGACTCATTTCCAAGATTTGTTTGCAATTAACCCTTTCACTCCAGGTATGGAAATCATCCAGTAATGCTCCTCCAAAGGGACAATAAGGTATTTTTTCTTTCACTGATAATGTCAGGACAAGCACCACTAAGGGTGAGCAGTGTGTGTGTGTAACCCCATTTTCACTTTTAGTTAATGTGAATGTCATTCTAAACCATCCCTTAACCCCATACCGACGGGACCATGTGCTGAGCATTACAACAAACTGCTTGATCTGTGGAGTACGGATGTACTCTGCGGCGACACGCCAAAGCACTACGAGCCGAGGGTTCGGCTTGATGTAAGGAACTCCCGTGCTCAAAGTCAGTTCATTGCCATTAATCTCCTGAGTGTAGATTTTTAAAAATATTTTCTCCATCCTTCAGTAAGGGTGATATTGCTTACATAATTTACATTACATGCTAATTCATGTATTCCTTATTCAGTCTTAATACAATAGCAAATACTGATAATGTTAGACATTAACATTCATAGGGCTTATTGTGCTTATGGTCACTCGACCATAAGTATGTTTCCTCATATGAAGAATTCATGGTCAACCTCTATATAGGCCAGTCAAGTTATGAAAAATAATGGCTGAACCTACCACTAATTGCAATACAATGTTTCTCACTTGTATTCTATTCATTGATAACCCAGGAATAGGATATTAAAAATAGAGGAATGAAGAAGGAGTGGAAGGGGTCCAAATAATGCTGATTTATGTTAATTAGGTTAGAACATCTAAGGACCCAGCTGAATCACCAAAAATCATGAGGGTGTTATCAAATAAACCACCTTTTTGTCACCCGAAACACCTGATGTGTTTCTAGAAATATTACTTTATTAAATTAGATGCCTATTTTGGTAATTAGGCTAATCACATATTCATAATTATGCTAATTAGTCATCTCAATTCCTGAAAAATAACTTATTTCAGGAGAAAGTTTCCATTCCAATGTGTTCATGGTTATGAGTTCAATAAATCACCATTCAGGCAAAATTAGGCTCAGTTAAGTAATTAGTATTATGATGAAATCCTGGTTATAAGCTGGCAAACGTTTATGACATACTTTGCATAAAATTATATAGTTTGCGACTGTTCATTCATCAGATTCAGCATCATTGACCTGTGAATCCCCAGCATTGGAACAGTTAGAGCCTTTACAGTCACTACATGCAAAGGTACACTCAAGTCCATGTTTGCGACAAGTGCATTTTAGAGTATTGCAACCAGTTTTGCAGTTACAGTGTATGACTTCTTGTAGGTAGTTAGGAACTGGAGGCATTATTGAAAACCTAACCATGAACACATCATAATGGAAACATATAAGAAACAAATAAGTTTTTTTTCCAGGAATCGAGATGACTAATTAGCATAATTATAAATATGTAATTAGCCGTATTACCAAGATAGGCATCTAATTTTATAAAGTAACATTTCTAGAAACACATCAGGTGTTTTGGGTGACCAAAAGGTGGTTTATTTGATAACACCCTCATGATTTTTGGTGATTCCTTAGATGTTCTACCCTAATTAACATAAATTAGCATTATTGGGACCTCTTCCACCCCTTCTTCATTTCTCTATTTTTAATATGCTATTCCTGGGTTATCAATGAATAGAATACAAGAGAGAAACATTGTATTGCAATTAGTGGTGGGTATGACCACCTTTTTGACTGGCCTAATACTTCAATCACCCACTATATTATATCATCATACCAAAAATACTAAACTTGTTATAGTCCAAATTATTTAGTATTAATATTATAGTGGCAGATTTGCTAATACATGGAAAAGCAAATGCATAAACAGTTCTTTCTGAGGTAAATATGGACCTTGAAAATGTGATGAAAAGTAAAACAACAAATGGTTGATTGGAAGTATGTATCCTAATAGCATACATACCCTCGCCAAAATTACCAAATTCTCAGCCTAGAGGCACAGGGAGAAGTTTGGGGCATGGGTGTCTGTTCTGTCAAAGTTCATGGCACACCAAATCACCATGTTGGAGTACTTTGTATTTTTGGTTTAGTCATTCATGTATGTATATATGTACGTATGTATGCAGTATATTTAAAATATATTTATATATACAGTACCTGTAATATATAATATATATATATATATATATATATATATATATATATATATATATATATATAATATATATGTATAGTGTGTGTGTGTGTGTGTGTGTGTGTGTGTGTGTGTGTGTGTGTGTGTGTGTGTGTGTGTGTGTGTGTGTGTGTGTGTGCGCGTGTGTGTGTGCGTGTGTGTGTGCGTGTAGCGTGTAGCGTGTAGGGTGTAGGGTGTAGGGTGTAGGGTGTATATATATATATATATATATACACACATATATATACATATATATGTATATATATATATTTACATTTTTTTTTATTATTATCATCATTATTATTATTATATTATTATTATTATTATTATTATTATTATTATTTTTACTAATATTATTACATATATATTATATATATATTATTAATATTATTATTATTATATATATGTGTATATAAATATTATTATTATTATATACATGTGTATATAAATATTATTATTATTATATATATTATTAAACATATATATATATATATATATATATATATATATATATATATATATATATATATAATATTATTATATATATATATATTATTATAGATATGTATATATATTATTACATATATATTTTGTTATTTTTGATTATTATTATTAATATTATTATTATTATTATTATTATTATTATTATTACTATTATTTTTATTATTTTTATTATTTTATTATTTTATTATGATAATTATTTTATTATTATTATTATTATTATTATTATTATTATTTTTTATTTTTTTTTATTATTATTATTATTATTATTATTGTTATTATTATTATTATTATTATTATTATTATTATTATTATTATTATTATTATTATTGTTATTATTATTACTATTATTATTATTAGATTTTTTGTCTCATTCTGAACAACTTTGATTCAAAAGAGTAAATGGTAGTTAAAGTGGTGATAAATTAGGGGAACCTCTGTATTGCCAAAATATCAAATATATTTTTCTACAGACAAGCTGATTTAGATAAAAGTTACCAGAGAGAGATGGCTTTAAAGCCTGACCTGGAATTTGTCTGCCCACTCTGAACTACCAGTACATGTTGGCAAGTTTAAGAATGAGGACCCTCTGACTAAGAAGAAATACCAGCTGGCATAAAAGAGGTTAAGAACTGTAATTGAAAAGTTTAAATAATTACTATTTTTGTACTATTCCCCTGAAAAGTGAATAAGCAAACTACTATGATTTCTATAGATAAAGTGGTATCAGGTAACTTCTTTATTGAATATTTTCATATGATAATTTACAAAGTTAATCTTTTCATGAAACACACTTGAATATTGAACATTACATGTTGCCTTCACAATAGTTGACAATACAGAAAATAAAAGTATTTTCTACATATGATAATAATAATAAAAAAAATTTCTATATATGTATATATATGTGTATATATATATATATATATACATATATATATATATATGTATATATATGTATATATATATATATGTATGTATACATACAGTAAGACCCCAACTTAAGAACATAATTGGGACTGAGAGGCTGTTTGTAAGTTGATTTGTTTGTATGTCGAAAGTCGGGTCTCCATTACCTTTTTTCCCATTGTTTTAAAGTTTTGTTTACAGTAAGAATACCTGTAAATAAATCCCAATAATTATGACATACCTTATACAGTACCAGACTCTTGAACTATATTCGTGCCAGGGAAATTTAAAGTTTGCTAGCATCTTTTAGACAATTTTTTGGACTTTAGTACGTAAAAAATTTTGTTTGTATGTATGGAATGTTCATAAGTAGAATGTTCTTAAGTAGGGGACTATCTGTATATATATATATATATATACATATGTATATTCAAATTCTTTTTACTTTCAGTATTTTTTCAACCCTGCTGTTAAATTTCCAGTAAGATTGTATGACTTTTATTGCCTCATAAGAACTTGAAGTTGAAAGGACTGGGTGTGTTGTAAGCAAAGGGTGGTTTACAGGAGTATTTAACTTTTAACCCATTGGATTCGGTTGCATCACGGCAGTCACATCACCAAAAAATTGGGCATTAGGCATACATGAGCAGCTGCTCTGCAGGGTGGCTGCTTGTGGGCTGGGCACAGTGACAAGACTCTGTGCCTCCTTTTTGCAAAGTTATTTACTCTTTTTACACATAAGCCTTTTTAGATTTTTGGCCATTTTTCTGTGACGACCCAGATTTTTTAATGAAGTGATGGTCACATCACCCTGATCCAATGGGTCAGTGCTGCCACACCTGCATCCTGAGATCTTTTATGATTCATTTGCCACATAAATGTAATTCTTCCCATGTTCTTTCCCCAGCCCTTGATAGGGTTAGAAGTCAAAGTCTGCATGGCCATTGGGAAGATAAGGCATGACACTTGTTTATAAAAGATGTATGAATAAGATTGAAGGATTTTTAAAGTATATTTTTGACCATAGAAGATAACGAAAGAAGATTGAAGGATTTCCAAATAACATAGATATTTGATATTTTGAAACATTCATAATTATATTTGTGTTTCTCAACAACTGTTGTAATAAATTCTGTTAAACTTGCCCTTTACCATTATTAGCATGTAGTCTGGCAGTGATACCATGTATGCACTCTAATATGAAGATGATGAGAAGAACACCCCTGTATGGATTTGCAATACAGTAAGTCCCCAACTTACGAACATAATGGGGATCTAGAGGCTGTTCGTAACTCCATTTGTTTGTATGTCCAAAGTTAGGTCTCTATTGCCTTTTTTCCCATTGTTTTAAAGTTTTGTTTACATTAAGAATACCTGTACCGTATATAAATCCCAATAAGTACAACATACCTTATACAGTACCTGTAATATATAATGCTTTTAATATTATTTGACGGTAATTCACACAACTTTAATGTAGAAACATAATTTATTCAAAAAGAAAATATATTGTAGTCGTGACTGGCTGGTGAACTGTGAACGATAAGATCAATATTTTCAAACAATTTTTTTGACTTAAATATTTTAAAAAATTGGTTCGTATGTATGGAATGTTCATAAGTAGAATGTTCGTAAGTAGGGGACTATTTGTATATATATGTATATATATATATGTACATATGTATATATATATGTATATATATATACAGATAGTCCCCTACTTAAGAACATTCTACTTATGAACATTCCATACATGCAAACAAAATTTTTTAAGTACAAAAGTCCAAAAATTGTTTGAAAGATGCTAGGGCATGAATATAGTTCAAGAGTCTGGTACTGTATAAGGTATGTCGTACTTATTGGGATTTATTTGCAGGTATTCTTAGTGTAAACAAAACTTTAAAACATTGGGGAAAAAGGTAATGGAGACCCGACTTTCGACATACAAACAAATCAACTTACAAACAGCCTCTCGGTCCCCATTATGTTCTTAAGTTGGGGACTTACTGTATATATGTATGTATATATATATTTATATATATATACGTATATATATATATACATATATATATATAAACATATATATATTATACATATATGTATAATATGTATATATATTATACATATATGTATAATATGTATATATATTATACATATATTTATAATATAAATATGTATAATATATAATATATTTATATATATATAATATATGTATATATATGTATATTATATATATATATATAAATATACATTATATATACATATAAATAATATATATATATAAATAATATATATATATAAATTATATATATATGTAAATTATATGTATATGTAATATATATATATATATATATATATATATATATATATATATATATATATAAAAGAAAAAAAAAACAAAAAAACTAATATATGTACATTTATTTTCTAATTCTAAATTTTGCCAACTTTGTAGGGATATATTACAAGTTATTGTCAAACATGAAATTCCTGTGAATTATTCCTAAACTCATTCAGATATTCATGTTTTTTTTC